GAGTATAGCACCCAACACTTCAGGTTGAATGAGTGAGAGGAGAGGGTAGTGCCAAAGAGAAGGCAAGACTGGTGATCAGGACCCCTGAATTCTGCCCCAAGATTCAGGGGGCTCCATACCCAACAGCAGTTCCAGTACAGCTCCTTGGTTGTGCAGCCCTTTCCACACACACTCATTCAAGCCCCTCCACCACCCAAGGAGTCCTAGTCTGCTCAGACTCTTGAGTGTGTACCAGTGGTACCAGTGGGCAGGTGGTAGGGCATGGCCTGGGTATCAATCAGATTTTGCCTTTCACTAGCTGTGAGGTCATAGACAAATTCCTTGGCATCTGTGTCAGTTTCCTCATCTGGGAAATGGGGTTTCTCAGGTGAAGATCGCATGACACCAGGTATGTAAACCACTGTGTGTGAGCCTGTCTCTGAGACATGCTTCATAAACCACGGTTACTTCCTTCTTGTCTTCATTCTCGTCCCTCAAGTCAGAGACTAGAACCTTGGCCTCCTGACTCCCAGGACAGCATTCTCACTAGTTAGACCAGTCCTGCCAATGCGGTGCCAATGCTTCTGCCCCTGGAGTGGGGTTGGAGGGCTAGCTTGGGAGGCCAGCCTCTTCCATGGAGGCTGGCTGCAAACAACTCTCATTCTTCCTAAGGGCGGCCAAGACCCCAAGATACCCTGGAGCTCGGACAGATCCTAAAAGGTTTTGGGGAGTCTGGTGAGGGGTATCCCACCTTTTATCTCCCGCTCCATTCTCCCTGCCCACAAGGACCCCAATCTGCACTGGTGCCCAAACCCGCACTCCAGTACGCCCCACGGGCGCCTCCTGGTGGGAAAAAAGGACATTCTGGGAGTCCTGTTTAGCCTGGGGATCTCGGATGATTCCGGGTGCGACCCTGGCTGGACGGTGGCATTCTACCCCTCGCCACATCCTTCCCAAGTCTGTGCAGGCTGGGAAGTCCAGAACGGCTTCCTGGAACACCCTGTCCTCCCAGAATGCTCCCCTAGGTACAATCTGCGCCCACCCCGAGCCCCAGTGCCGGACACTGACCCATCTTCTTCAGCGCCCGCAGCCCAGGCCTCTTGGTACCGCCATCCGCAGGCGCCGGCGAGTGAGAGAGCGCGGCTGGCGCTGCGATCTGGGCCGGGACCGGGGGTTCCTCGGGCGGTCGGCGGCAGCTCCTCCAGCGTCCGCACAGCATGGTTCGGTGGGGCCGGGGCCGGGCCCGGGGTCTGTGCGCGGGGACAGGGCAGCGGGGACGCCGCTCCGGCCCGGCCCCGGCTCAGTGCGCGGTCCCGAGCGAAAAAACTTAGCGGCGCCGAGAGCGAGTAGGAGAACAAGGAGTCGGGAGGAGGGAGAAAGGGAGGGACACAGTTCAGGGAGGGAGGACTAGGAAAGGAGGGGGCGGGGCGAGGACGGCTAGGGGGTGGCGCCGGGCGGCGGCCGGGACCCCAGGCTCAGGAACGTGAGTCTCCGCGTTCTCCCTTGCTTGTGAGTCCGCCTCTCCACTGTCCCAGCGATCCTCAGATCTCGGCCCCATCAGTGGTCAGAGCCCCCAGTCTGGGAGGTGGGCAGAGCGGGCACAGGAGGGGGCGAGGGCTGTCCTTTGTCATAGGCACTCCCTTCCTTTCTGGGACCCTGACTCAATGCAGACGCAGGACCCCTCGCCACCCTCCGCGTGCCGGTCCTCCAGCGGGCTTCTGCAGTGAGCCAGACTGGGGACCAGTGTACAGGGCCGCTAATCCTGAGCTAAGGGTCCCTGGGCTCGGAAAAACCACAGAATCCCGGGAGTTAAGGCGCTGCCCGGCAACGCGAGCGCAGAATCGGGGACACTGGCTGGGGGTGGTGGAGCGGACAGTGATGTCATAGGATCTACACCCCCGCACCAGGTCAGGCCGCCCCCTCAGAATGCTCAGTCTCAAGCTGACTGGTCTGGAGAGCGTGAGGAGGCGCTAAGTCTAGAGTCCTCAGCAACTGATTCTGGGGTTCGAGGCTTGGACAGGTTGGAACCTTAGTCTGGCGCTCGATGGTCCCAGAACAGCCACCATCCGCAGTGTAGTTGCCGACGGACGACGTCAGTCCGCGGGTGGGCGTCCGCTTGTAGGTTCTGTTGGCCGTGTCAGGTGTGCACTTAACTATGTATATGAAACCATCCGAGTACGGGCGGGAAGGATGGGATGTCCGGGTGGCAGAGTTGTCCTCGGCAGGTGCCCTGAGTCGGGTGGAGAGCTGAACACACACCAACACTTGGTGGCTGCCAACAGCGTGACATCCCACGGATTTGCCACCTACTTGGTAGTCCTAACTCTTTATTCTCAGATATTCCTGCCCCAGAGGTTACACATACTGGCTTGGGTCCCCACCCTTCTCTGGGGTCCTGAAATTTCTTCCTGAATATCAAGTCTTTCCCTATGTACTTTTTTTGTTTGTTTGTTTGACAGTGTCTCACTTTGTCACCCTCGGTAAAGTGCCTTGGAGTCATCAGAGGTTACAGCAACCTAAAACTCTTGGGCTCGAGAGATCCTTTTGCCTCAGCCTCCGGAGTACCTGTGATTACAGGCGCCGGCCACAACAGCTGGCTAGTTTTTCTATTTTTAGTAGAGACCAGATCTGGCTCTTGCTTAGGCTGGTCTCGAACTTCTGAGCTCCAGCATTCCACCCGCCTCCGCCTCCCAAAGTGCTAGGATTACAGGCAGGAGCCACCACGCCCAGCCTGCCTTTGTACTTTGGATTCTTGAATTTTTTCCTCCAAAAATAATCTTCCCCTCATTTTTGTCCTGGCTTGCTTTCTTTTTCTTTTTTGATAAGCTGAATTTTATTTATTCACTTTTTTTTTTTTTCAGTTTTGGCCGGGGCCAGGTTTGAACCCGCCACCTCCAGTATATGGGGCCGGCGCCCTACTCCTTTGAGCCACAGGCGCCGCCTATTCACTTTTTCTTTCTTTTTTTTTAAGACAGGGTCTTTGTTTGTCAACCAGGCTAGAGTGCAGTGGCATCATCATAGCTCACTGCAATCTCAAATTCTGGGAGTCAAGCCATCTTCCTGCCTCAACCTCCAGTAGTGCTGGGATTACAAGCGGGATCCACGACGCCCAGCCTATTTTTAAAAACACAAAAAATAAGAGAAAAATTAAAATATATATATATTTTTCCTCATGGTGGGGAGGACGGATGAAGGGCCCACAGACAGAAGGAAGAGGGGTCCCATTCGCCATGAATGTCTGTTGTTCTTTGTCCAGTGCAAGGAGAGCATGAGGTCACCACATTGATCATACCCTTCATTTAAATTTAAATTTAAGGCTCTGCGCCTGTGGCTCAAGTGGCTAAGGTGCCAGCCACATACACCTAAGGTGGCAGGTTCGAATCCAGCCTGGGCCTGCCAAACAACGACGGCTGCAACCAAAAAATAGCCGGGCGTTGTGGTGGGCACCTGTGGTCCCAGCTACTTGGGAGGCTGAGGCAGGAGACTCGCTTGAGCCCAGGAGTTGGAGGTTGCTGTGAGCTGTGATGCCACAGTACTCTACCCAGGGGGACAGCTTGAGGCTCTGTCTCAAATAAATAAATAAATAAATTTAAATTTAATTAAAAATATTTTTTTTGGCTCGACGCCTGTGGCTCAAGTAGCTAAGGCACCAGCCACATACACCTAAGGTGGCGGGTTCAAATCCAGCCTGGCCTGCCAAACGACAATGATGGCTGCAACCAAAAAATAGCTGGGCGTTGTGGCGGGCACCTGTGGTCCCAGCTACTTGGGAGGTGGAGGCAGGAGAATCGCTTGAGCCCAGGAGTTGGAGGTTGCTGTGAGCTATGATGCCACAGCACTCCACCCAGAGGTCGAGAGCTTGAGGCTCTGTCTCAAAAAAAAAAAATTTTTTTTTGCAGTTTTTGGCCAGGGCTGGGTTTGAACCCACCACCTTCAGCATATGGGGCCGGTGCCCTACTCCTTTGAGCCACAGGCGCCACCCTATTATATTTTGTTTTGAGACAGAGTCTCACTATGTTGCCTTGAGTAGAGTGCTGTAGCATCACAGCTCACAGCAACCTCTAACTCTTGGGCTTAAGTGATTCTCTTGCCTCAGCCTCCCAAGTAGCTGGGACTACAGGCGCTCTTCACAACGCCTGGCTATTTTTTTGTTGCAGTTGTCATTGTTGTTTAGCAGTCCTGGGTTCAAATCTACCCCCCCTGGTGTATGTGACCGGCACCCTAACCACTGAGCTACGGACGCCGAGCCCATGCCCTTTATTTTTAATATGGATACATAATCAGTAATTGTACACATTTATAGGGTGCCTGCCATGTTTTGATAAAGCATACAAAGAGTAATGATCAAATCAGGTTAATTGGGGAATCCATCACCTCAAACATTTACTTCTTTGTGTTAGGAACATTTAGATTCCACTCTTTAAAAATATACAATACATTATCGTTAACTATAGACGCCCTATTGTGCTCCTCAATACTAGATCTTCTTCCTTATATCTAACTGAATTTTTATACCCTTTAACCATCCTCTCTCTAATTTCTGCCCTCTTCTTCCCAGCTTCAGGTAATCATCATTCTACTCTCCAACCCCATCTGGCTTCCTCTTAAAACTTCCAAAACTCAGCTGTGATGTCCCTCCTTTAGAACTCCTGACCCCAGGTCATGACTTTTTATCCCCAGCGCCCAAGCGTCTGAAGAGCTGAGTGGGTGGCTCGTTCAGCAAGGCGCGGGTTCAGCGGACAGACGAGAATTTCCACCAGGGGGCGCAAGGACTCCGCGACCTTTCACTATGTCCACCAGGGGGCATTGCTGCCCGCTTTGGCAGTCCGGAGCTGGGAAGTCCGACTCATGGGTTAGCTCCGCCTGATTGGGAGAGGCACTGCGAAGGTATTTGCATAATCTTGAAAGGGAAGTGCTGAGTGGGTGAGGTATAGAAGCCGAATGTGAAACAGGCTCTCTCATTGGCTTAAATTTCCCCCCTCGTTCTGCGTCCCCATCCCGGCCAGACCCGACCCCGAGGTCAGTCGGAAGCCGCCGGTTAGTGGCTAGAGAGGACCCAGGTGTCCTGGCACAAAGAGGTGAGGCTCCGTCCAGGGTGCTAGGGGCCAGGTTGGGAGACTGTTTGCTCCGCCCTGACTCCGCCTTGCTTGGTCGTTGGCCTGTCCAGGAGTTGGAGTCATGCATCTAGCGAGGCGCTTCTGGGGACACGTCTAGCACTGCCACCCTTGCTACCTGCCTCTCCACCCACCCACCAAGGTCCTCGCTACCCTGGTGCCACCATGCTGCCGTGAGGTAGGGAAAGAAATTTCCACAGCTGCAGCTTTTGCCCTCCCAGGGTATCTCTCTCAGGCCTGTTAAAGAGCTTAGTTTGCCCCTCTAGAAAGTGGATCCGTGGCTTAGGATGCCTGGTGGGTCCAGGAGGCCTACCACATGGAAGCTTGTTCTTGCAGAGTCGGTCAAAAGTAGGGTCCCAGGGCTTGGAGCAGCATGGGCACCGAGCATGAAAGCCCAGAGCCGGACTGCCAGAAACAGTTCCAGGCTGCAGTCAGCGTCATTCAGAACCTACCTAAGAACGGTGAGGCTGAGGGGACCCTCATTTGGGGGTTCAAGACAGCTGGGGTCTTACTCTGGAAAGAAAAAGAAAATAACCCTGATCCCTGCAGTTTTTGCTGACAGGTCCCTGCCTGGTCTGTCCTGGGGGTCACTTTCACTTCTTGCCCCTGTCCAGATGCACTGGGTGGGACCCCCTCCCCTCGTCCTCCTCTTCCCTTCTTCCCCTCCTCACCATCTCTGCCCCCATCTAGGGTGGTTTTCCCCTTACCTCCATCCTCTTGGAGCTGGGGGTGATGCTCTGCCCTCCACTGCCCAGGCACTTACCGCCCCTCCTACGAAGAGATGCTGAGATTCTACAGCTACTACAAGCAGGCCACTGTGGGGCCCTGCCTGGTCCCCCGGCCTGGGTTCTGGGACCCCATCGGACGATATAAGTGGTGAGCTCCCCACTGGCAGGGCAAATAAGCCTTAGCTGTCAAACAGCCCTCTCACAGTCCTCTGCCCTTAGGGATGCCTGGAACAGCCTGGGCAAGATGAGCAAGGAGGAGGCCATGTCCGCCTACATCACTGAGATGAAGCTGGTAGCACAGAAGGTAGGGAGAGGCTGTGGGCCCTCTGTCCCCAAGCTCCCAGCCAGGTAGCCTGGCCTCATCCTTCCAGTTCTCACCTCTACTTTGTTTCCTACACATTAATACCCCTGTGGGAAGCACCACCTTCATATTGCAACCCCCCCCTCCCCATCCTGCCTGTCTCTCATCCCTGATTGGATGCAGAGTGGAGTTCTATGACAGGATGGGAGCAGGGTGGAGTGGACAGGAGGGCCAGCCCCTTCCCCAATAGACTCCTTCCCCAAACAGGTGATCGACACAGTTCCCCTGGGTGAGGTGGCAGAGGACATGTTTGGTTACTTCGAGCCCCTGTACCAGGTGATCCCTGACATGCCAAGGCCCCCGGAGACCTTCCTGAAAAGAGTCACAGGTCAGACCCCTAGAATGGGAGCTCCACAAGTACTGAGTGAACTATCTCAGGTCTAGGCTGAGGGGGCTGCTCAGTTGTGGGGAGTCTGAGGTAGAGGGCACCAGGTACTATCTCTGTAAGAATCCTAGCCAGTGACCTGATGGGTGGATCTCAGGCAGTGTCCAGGGATAATGAGGAATAGGGACTTGATAGCACTGAGAGGTGCCAGCCTCTTCCTAGCCCTACTTCTGGGTGCTATGTCTTGGCAGGTTCCAAAAAGCAGATACTTAATGGAGATGTTGGGGCTGTTCCAGAGTCACCCTGCCTCCCCAAGGAACCAGTACCCTCAAGCTCAGGTTAGTGCTTGGGCAGGAGGAACAGAGGACAAAACCCAAGATGGGTGGAAGTGAGAAGGCTGGATGCCATTCTGTGCCCTTCATGCCTCATGCCCACAGATACTGAGCCCTCCTGTGCTCCTGAAGGCAGGGCATTGGGGGTTCTAAAATTCTTGCTCCAGGGCTTCACTTTTGGGACACACCTGGGCATCCTGTGACAATTTCAACATGCCATGCACAGTGCACACCCCACACCCCACCTTGCCCTCCACAGCTTCTCTCTGAACCATAACTCTGCTTACCCCTCCCCAGAGTCTCAGCCACCTAGGGACCTGGACTCTGAGGTTTTCTGTGATTCCCTGGAGCAGCTGGAGCCTGAGCTGGTGAGACCACCCCCTTTCCCCTCCCCCTTCCTCACCCCACTGTCCCCTGCCTGCCCATGCTTCAGCCCTCAGACCTCTGACTCATCTCCACAGGTTTGGGCAGAACAGGGGGGAGCACCTGAGGGAGAATCTGAAACCAGAAACATCCCTGTGGCCCCTGGAGAGAAGGGTGAGCTCCTGCTTGACCCTGCATCCCCTCTGTTCTTCCCTTGGCTGCCCTCTTAGGACAAAGGTGAAAGTCTAATGCTGGGCACCAAGGAGAGCAGCCTCTGTCCAGGAATGGCTGCCAAACACCTGCCTGGATGGGCAAAGTCCCTGCCCTGCCTCCTCTACCTGAGGGCCACGTAGAAGTCTGCACCCTGGGCCAGTGCCAAGTGAGGGCAGTTGGGATGGGAGGCCTATCCCGCTCTCTCATCCATAGCTGCATGGCCTTGGGAAATCATTCTTTCTCCTTGGGTCCCCCCATTTGAGAATCACATGACCACAATGAGTTCTGCCCTTCTCCCTTCTAGAACTTTCTGTGTGCTAAGTACCACTGAGTCACTTTCATAAATATTATCTCCTTGATTCCTCTGAGCAAGCAGCTTTGTGAGAGAAGTGACATCTTCCCTTAATTTTCAGATGACAAAATAAGGGTCAGAGAAGCTAATTACTTGCCTAAAATGGCACAGCTAGTAAGTAGCAGTGCTGGGATTCAATCCCCTAGCAGCCCAGTACTCAGCCATGTGGATGGACTTTGCAAGAGTCACACCTGATGCAGGGACCATGTTCTACTCCCACCCTTCCCTGGCCTCAGCCCAGCCTGCTCTCACCTGCATAGCTAAATTGCCTCCTGAGTCCCCTTCCCTGTGTGTCTGTGCTCCACAGAGGGGCTGGGGGGCAGCCTGCCAGGGCCCCAGGAGTTGGACACGTGGCTGGTGGGGACAGTCCGGGCACTACAGGAGAACATGCAGGATGTCCAAAGGAGACTACAGAGCCTGGAGAGTGCACCCCAGCCCCCTAAGCAGGTGAGTGTCCCTTCCTCTGGGGCAAGGTTGGGGCAGAATACTGAGTGTCTCATTCCAGGCCCCTCTTCCAGCGCTTACGTCTTTGTTTTTTTTTTGTTTGTTTGTTTGTTTTTGTTTTTTTGAGACAGAGTCTCACTCTGTAGCCATGGGTAGAGTATCATGATGTCGTAGCTTACAGTAACGTCAAACTCCTCAGATCAAGTGATCCTCCTGCCTTAGTTTTTCTATTTTTAGTAGAGACAGGGTCTCCCTTCTTGCTCAGGCTGCTCTAAACTCCTGAGCTCAGCAATCTACCTGCCTTGGCTTCCCACAGCGCTAGGATTACAGGCAGGAGCCACTGGGCATGTCTTTATCCTTGTGCCACCTTCCCCACTTGCAGGCAGGGAGGTCGGGGTGTGAAGTGCTTCCTACCTGGGAGGCAGGGCAGGAAGGGCCCATTCCTGCTATTCCTCTGCTTGGAGAGAAACTGAGCCTAGCTACTAAACCCAAGAGTTGGAAGGGTCACGATGTGTTTGCTCTGTGCACTGGGGCTGGAGTCCCTTATTTAAGACTTCTGTTTTCAGATTTAGCATTTGCCCCCAAACAGTTCAGTCCTTGAATGTGCTTCCCCATCTGCTTGCCCCTTAAAAGGGCTCCTGCAAAATAAATAACAGCTGCATTCCTGGAGCCCCAGCTGTGAGCCAAATACTTACTTGCATTCTTTCATTCAGTCCATACAGTGACCCTGTAGGATAGATTTGCTTTCCGCCTCCCTTCTACAGAGGAGGAAATTAAGGCTCTGAGAGGTTCAGTAATTTTCCCAAGGGTACACAGCCTGGGAAAGCCTCAGTGAACTGCTGTGAAAATTAGATCATGCATGTATGGGCTTCCTCAGTGCCCAGCACACTGGAAGGCCTTCTCTAGTGAGGCCTATTGTTATTATTACTGTTATTATTAATGTTAAGTGACTGGGAGTGGACCCTAATCTTTCTCCCCTCAGAGGTGGCATCCACCATTAACTCTGAGTGGTTCTGTTCTAGTGAAGCCTGGCATAGTGAGGGCAGGACAGGGCTCAGTTGCCTGATATGGGGGATCTCTGGGGTGGCCAGCAACCCCTCAGCATAGTGGGTGTGGGCGTTGGAAGCAAAGATTTCCTCAGATTCACAATGGCTAACTTTTCAGCACTGCCCCTTCTCCACAACAGGCTTGCTTTCTCTCTTTTGTTTGAATCAGTTCCTAATTTTATTATATTATATTATAATAATTATTATTTTTGAGACAGAGTCTCACTATGTAGCCCTTGGTAGAGTGCTGCTGTGTCATCACAGCTCACAGCAACATCAAACTCTTGGGCTTAAGCTATTCTTTTGTCTCAGGCCCCCAAGTAGCTGGGACTACAGGCACCCGTCACAACACCCAGCTATTTTTTGGTTTCAGTTGTCTTTGTTGTGTAGCTGGCCCAGGTTTGGTTTGAACCCGCCAGGTTCAGTGTATGTGGCTAATTCAGTAAACACTGTGCTACAGGTGCTGAGCCTATTATTATTATTATTATTATTATTTTTGAGATGGAGTCTCACTTTGTCACTTTCGGTAGAGTGCTGTGGCATTTTAGCTCACAGCAACTTCAATCTCATGGGCTCAAGCAATTCTCTTGCCTCAGCCTCCCATGTAGCTGGGACTACAGGCGCGCGCCACATACTCGGCTATTTTTAGAGACAGGGTCTCACTCTGGCTCAGGCTGGTCTCAAATTTGTGAGCTCAGGCAATCCACCCATCTCAGCCTCCCAGAGTGCTAAGATTACTCTAGCATGAGCCACCATGCCCGGCCCAGTTACTAATTTTACATGCTGAAAATTTTAAAGTAGATTACAGACATCATTATGCTCTACCTTGAAGTACCTGGGTTCACATCTCTCAAAATAAGACTCTACAACCTAGCCCAAGTAATATTTTATCACACACAATGATTAATTCCTTAATATCATCAAATATCCAGTCCAAATTCAGATTTTTCCAGTTGTCCTGCAATTGCCTTTTCCAACAGCTCTGTCTGTCCTGTCTAGGACCACACACCGCGTCTGCTTCCTGTGTCCTGTAAGTCTCCTTTTATTGAGGCCAGTGCTTTTCCTCGTTGTTGACTTGCTGACCAGACTGAGCTGTTCCACCTTTTAGATCTGGTCATGTCCTCATGGTTAGTTTCTTTATGCTTTGTATTCCCTGTAAACTAGCGGTTAGAACTGAGGACTAGATTTTTTTTTTTTTTTTTTTTTGAGACAGAGTCTCACTATGTCACCCTTGGTAGAGTATGTGGCATCTTAACTCACAGCAACCTCAAACTCTTGGGCTTAAGCAATTCTCTTGCCTCAGCCTCCCAGGTAGCTGGGACTACAGGTACTTGCCACATGCCCAGCTATTTTTTGGTTGCAGTTGTTGTTGTTTACCCGGCCTGGGCGGGACTTGAACCCACTAGCCTCAGCGCAGGTGGCTGGCACCGTAACCACTGTGCTATAGGCACCAAGCCTGTCACACAGTTTTTATTTTTATTTTTTTAAATTTCAGATTAATGTAAGGGTATAATTAGGTTATGTTTGCATTTGTTAGGTAGAGTCCCTGTTGTAGTTTGCCACATAGTTCCTGACAACAATTGATGATCCTTGTCTGAATCAACAATTTAGTGATTACATAAAGTTTGACTTTTAAATTCTATTATTGCTTTAATATCTATTAGCTATGTTTTTTCTTTCTTTCTTTCTTTTTTTTGGCCAGGGCTGGGTTTGAACCCACCACCTCTGGCATATGGTGCTGGTGCCCCACTCCTTTGAGCCGCAGGTGCCGGCCCCAGCTATGTTTTTTTTGTAGCACCTCTCTGATCAGCATGGGTTTCCCTGAAATACAATGCCTATGAGGGTAAATGGTTAATTCTTTCTCTTTTTTTTTGAGATAGAGTTTTATTCTGTTGCCCTGAGTAGAGTGCATGGCATCATTGCAGCTGACAGCAACCTCAAACTCCTGGGTTCACTCAATCCTCCTGCCTCAGCCTCCCTAGTAGCTGGGACTACAGGCACCTACCATAACACCTAGCTAATTTTTCTATTTTTAGTAGAGATGGAGGTCTCACTTTTGCTCAGGCTGGTCTGGAAGCTCTTGAGTTCAAAGGATCCTCCCTCCATAGCCTCCTAGAGTGCTAGGATTGCAGGCATGAGCCACTATATCCAGCCTTAATTCTTTCTCTTTAATTACCTTTATTTAGAGTAAGGAATTGGGCTCAGTGCCTGTAGCACAGTGGTTACAGTGCTGGCCACATGCACTGAGGTTGGCATGCACTGAGCCAGCTGAACAACAATGACAACTGCAACAAAAAAGTAGCTGGGCGTTGTGGCAGGCACCTGTAGTCCCAGCTACTGGGAGGTTGAGGCAAGAGGATCACTTAAGCCCAGGAGTTGGAGGTTGCTGTGAGCTGTAACACCATAGCGCTCTACTGAGGGCTACATAGTGAGACTCTGTCTCAAAAAATAAAAAAAAAATAAAGTAAGGAATTGAAGGGCTAGGCGTGGTGGCTCATGCCTGTAATCCCAGCACTTGGGACGCTGAGATGGGTAGATTGCCTGAGCTCGCAGGTTAAAGACCAGCCTGAGCCAGAGGGAGATCTTGTCTCTAAAAATAGCTGGGCTGGTTCAGTGCCTGTGGCTCAAGCAGCTAAGGTACTAGTCACATATACCTGAGTTGACAGGTTCAAATCCAGCCCGGGGGGGCCTGCCAAACAACAATGATGGCTGCAACCAAAAAATAGCCAGGCATTGTGGCAGGCGCCTGTAGTCCCAGCT